GTTTCAGGTTTTGAAAAAAATGTCATTTATCAGATTTGACCTTGTGTTACCTCTGATGTGTATACTGCGTCTATTTCATGGACTGAAGGGAGTGTGAATTGTTTTATTTTTCACAAATGGCCAAGAAATTCCCCAAAGAAGTGCAAAATATTTTAGTGTTAAGGTAAATAATGCTGAAAAATTCCATTTCTGTAGCTTTGTGTAGTGTCCGTAACACCTACCACCCCCTGTGGTGTTGATACTCATAAAATGATAACCAAGATAGTTTCCTCAAGGATATTGCAGGGTATTAACCCCAGGGTATGGATGAACAATTTTGCGTTGATGAAACTGCTCTATTGCATACTTTATTTTTGGACCCAAGTGTAAATGGTTTTGCACCCTGATTGTGGCTATACCGTTAACCCTAATAAGGCCGGGAGGGGGCATTATGCCCCCCCCCCCTCCACGATTTTTCCGATTGCTCGGGAACGCATATGGATGGCGCCCCGCCGCTCACTGACTTTTTTCTTTCGAGTCTTGCGCAACTTTTAAAAGAATTTTTTTGAAAATCGGACCTACGGTTACAAGGTCAAGTGACATTTTGTCTTTGCATGTCAGCCCGAAAATCGCTCATTTTCGTGATTTGTGTACAAAATATATGGAAAAGACATTTTTCCTAAAATAATAATAATAATAATATTATTACCCATCAAACATGGGTTATTTGGTCTTGTTTAAAGTTTAGGTGGTTGTTTTGGGAGTCAAAATCGTTGAATTGTAGTAAGAAATGAAATAAAACAACTAAAACAATGAAATACATAAGTTAAAAAACAATGAAATACATAAGAAATGATCAAAACAAGGGATAATATAAGGAATAAGCTGGCTCTTCCAAATTTTTTTGTCGTATTATTATTCAGAATGGTCTAATGAATATATGTAGTGAAAAAGAATGCTTAAATATGAATAATATATGATTTATGGGTAAAAATGTGATTTGTATGATTTTATTTGCATAAATTACCATAAATATGCAAATGAGTGAATTTTTCAAAAACTGAAATTGGCCGAGATCTCAAGGGGGGGGGGCATAATGCCCCCCCCCCCCGGCCATACTAAGACCTCAAATAGCCCGGCCTTTTTAGGGTTAACATATCGTCTGTTTGGGGTCAAAAGGGCCCTGACTCCATATCAAAGTAATACAGATCTATGCCACTATGAATCCAAACAGACAATGTTACATGCATTCGAAATAAATCAATATAATTTAGAAACAATATATGTGACTGATATGTGTAAGTAACATTATAGAGAGAGAAAACATACTAATTTTATCTGAACTGTACATTAATACAAAAGCTGGTGAACAAGTATAAATGATGAATTAAGAAACAGGAACGAGAGGAGTGATAGGAAGCAGAAGAATAAAAAAGAATGAGAGGAGCATTGGAAGGGAAAGGATTAAGAGAGAGAAAGAGGGGCAGAAGAAGAGAGAGAATAAGAAAATAGAGAGAAAGAGGATGAAAAGAAGGGAGAGAAGTAAGGAAAAACAGGAGGAAGGAGAAAAAGAAAAATGAGGGGATCAAGAAACAGGAAGAAAAGGGCAAGAAAGGAAGGTGCAGAAAAAGAGTAAGAATGTGGAATATGCATGTATAGAGACTTCAGAAGGCTGTGGCCCTCCCAACATGGCTTATCCTTAGAGCAGTATATTGAAAAGGAAGAAGTTACTGCAATGTTTGATACGGTGTATAATACATTCAGAAATTATACAGATGTGTCCTTGTAACAAACACAATCAAACAAGATCAAATAGATTACCATAAAAAATGAGTGTTTCATAGCATGTTCGTGGCTTGTTTAAATGATGTTGCTGCATATAGAGTTTTGGCAAGAATTGGATTAGGACTTGAATGATCTTCGCAAGAACTGGATTAGGAGTTGAATGATCATGATCGATGATCGTAACTCGGCCATCATTCCAATTAATATTTAATTCCTAATTTAATTCTCCCCTTTCTTTCTACTGTGATTCACGAGAGACCAGACAGCTACAATAAAAAAAAAATAGTGGACACAAGATAAATCATTTAAACCATGAGCATTTATTCAAATCCGTGCTAAAATCTAGCCGGGAAATATTCCAATAACAATTAAGGTATTCTATTTATAAAGCGAAAGACTGCCGCTTTTCAAATTACAATACATTATCATCAAACTTCTCAAATGCGTTGGATGTTATTGTCAATGATGATGAACCGACGATGTCAAAGAAACGAGGGTCTATTATGTCGATGACGATGAAGGTAGAGTTTCTGATGATATCAAAGAAACAAGATTCGACGATGTAGAAAAGAAGACCCAAGTTTCTGACGATTTTGAAGAAACAAAATGAGACGATGTGGAAAAGAATAGCAATTTTCTGACGATGTGGAAGAAACAAAGGTCGACGATGTGGAAGGTAAGAGTAAATCCCGACCTTCAAACAAAGAACGGAAATCGACGGTGTAAATATACAAACTGGGGTTCGTATACTGTCAAACAGAAAAATGGCGTGGTCTTCATACAAAGAAACGATGTCGATGATGGCGAAAGTAAAGTTATCATGATGAGTATGAACGAAGAAACGAATTGTTGATGTCGAAGGAAGAGTTCAGATGATGAATGAAGACACGGAAGGTCAATGTTGACGATATAAAAGGAAAATGGCGACCTCCGAACAACCAAGATAAGGTTTTCAGCACACATAATGATCAGCCAAGTCGGTCAAACCGTTGCTTTATTGTTATATTGCCGAAACAACACAATACAAAAGAAATATCACTGGATACTGAATGGTGCCAAATCGATGCATGTTGCTCAATTAAATTCAACTGCGTCGCGTCTATTTCATGCTTGTAGTAAATAGCTCCTGCAATAAAAACATAAAGAATACACTTTTGATTACACAGAGAAACAGAATCTATATTTGGCAGAGAGATTTTCAGGATTGAATATGGAATACGAGTTTGATTTTGCTTCAGAAGTTTAGATCTATCAGTATCACAAATAATCAATTATCTCCAAGCTCCGATACAGTTTTACATATTGTTAGTGTTACCACGGTTACCCGTTTGTGTCTGGGCCTGGCCACGTAGAATTTTTGGTTTATTTTTTAAAATAAACATCTTTCAAACCCTGCTCTGCAGTACCATCACTCTGGAAACAACATCCGACCTAGGCCAAACATATACATAGAACTTTAGCAGCATTATTATACTTGTTGTGTACCGTACTAAAAACAGTTTAGACGATCGTACAAAACTCGGGTGAGTTCACTCAAAATAAATCGGTACTTTAATGACAATTGACGACACCTAAAAAGCAGTAAAATACTAGTTTTTTCAACTTTCCGATGTTAGAAAAAAATAATTTAAAAATTCAAATTGTGAGTCAAACTTTCCGATCAACCTCATCGGCATGATTGTGTGCATCTGTGTGTTGTGAGAGTATTGACTTTTTATGTATTCAAATAGTCTAGAGGTCTACTGCCTATAGACACGTAGATCCAGTGCTAGAGGTTAATACGCGTTAGCCTTGACTCTCTATGCTTTGCTGGAGTGACTCAGCTCAGCTCAGTTCGAGTCGACGAGTGTGCTATTGTAGTAGAAAATAGGGACTTTAAGATTGAGTGGACGAGAACACGACGAACGCCGACTGATCATGCATGTCAACGTTACTGCCCATGTTAACTACAATTAGAAATCTTTTAGATTGCACTCTTCTTCTTCTTCTTTGGGTTAAGTCTACCTCCTTCACAGTTGAAGATTCTTGCAGACTGATGAGTGTGTGTGTGCTTACGAGAGCAAGGTGCATGGTGCAATGCTATTTACATGGTGCAAGTAAAAAGTTCCCAGACTTAGTTGCTGCCTCCCGTCAGGCATTGACGGAAGGCATTGACGGATGAGGCACATACTGTTTCTGATGGCAGGTTGTTCCAACTCCTCACAGTCCTTGGAAAGAAGGACTGCTTATGCTGCTCAGTTCTTGAACGGAGGACTTGGTAGCTATGTGCATGGGCAGTCCTGGAGGGTCTTGTGACAGGGTTGATGTAGGATGCTGTGTCGAGTGCTACCAGGTTGTTGTGGAGCCTGTACATCATCACCAGTCTGTAGTTTTCTCTGCGTTGCTCGAGTGTGGTCCAGTCAAGTTTTTGGAGCATGGAGGTCACGCTAGATGTGTTGTGGTACCGATTGAGGGTGAATCTAGCAGCCCGTCTTTGTACCATTTCTATTTGATGGATGTGGTTTGCAGAGGAGGGATCCCAAACTGTAGAACTGTACTCAATGAGTGATCTTACTAGAGCTTTGTAGGCAGTACTCTTCAGTTTTGGTGAGTTGATCCGAAGATTTCGTCTGAGGAAGGCAAGGGTGTTGTTTGCTTTCTGGCATATGCTTGTGATGTGTTTGTCCCATTTCAAGTCTGATGTGATTGTGATGCCAAGGTACTTGGTTGATGAGACTGCATCCAGTGGTGTGTTGTTCAGGATGTACTGGTGTCGTATCTGGCTCTTCTTTCTGGACACTGTGATGGTCTTGCACTTGTCCGTGTTGAGCTCCATCATCCATTCAGAGGACCATTCAGCAAGCCTATTAAGGTCCTCCTGTAGTTCAAGAGGGTCTTGTCTGCCCTTGATCGCTAGGTAGATGATGGCGTCGTCTGCAAAGAGACGTACTGGAGAGGTGAGCTTGTCTGGCAGGTCGTTGATGTAGTACAGGAATAGAGAGGGTCCAAAGAGCCTTGAGGTACTCCTGAGTCGACATCGACCTCAGGTGATGCATGGCCTTCTAGAACAACTTGCTGGGTTCGATGGTGAAGAAAGTTGGTGATCCACCTGTTGCTTTTGCCTCTCACTCCATATTGGTCCATCTTGTGCATTAGTCTCTGGTGACCGACCTTGTCAAAGGCTTTGCTGAAGTCCATGACAAGGACATCAGTTTGCAGACCTAGCTCCATGTTCTTGTGGAGGTCACTAACGAATCCTAGTAGTTGTTGCTCGCAGGATCTCTTAGGTCGGAACCCATGTTGGAGGGGTGGAGGATGTCCTTTTCATCGCCATGCCTCATGATGCTACTTGCAAGGATGTGCTCCATCATCTTGCAGCAGATACATGTGAGGGAGATTGGGCGATAGTTGCTAGGATCGGTTCTGTCGCCTTTCTTGTAGACAGGCACCACGTTTCCTTTGTGCCAGTCATCTGGTATCTCGCCGGTGTCATACGAGAGTCTGTAGATGATTCGTAAGATGGGAGCGATGACTCTGGATAGCTGCTTCAGGATGCGTGGGGTGATCCCATCGGGCCCTGGCGCTTTATGTGGTTTGAGTTTCTTAAGCATCATCTCGATACCCTTCAGGGTTATCACTATGTCAGGCATCGATTCGTGTTCAGAAGTATCTGGCAACAGATGAGGAGGGATTGGAATTTCCTGGGTAAAAACCTTCTTGAACTGTCTATTCAGGGCATCAGCTTTCTCAGCAGGTTCACTGAATAGCACGCCGTCAGATTTGAGTTCCGCAATTCCAGCACTGTCATTTCTGTTATTCTTGATGAATTGCCAGAATCTCTTCATGCAGTTGTACTTCCCTGGTCCTTCGTCATCATCTTCAACAGTAAAGATAGACTCCACATAGTTCCAGTAAGCTTTCCTGAGTGCGAATTGGAGTGTTCTTTTGAGATCACGGAGCCGCTCTTCCAGAACATATGGAATGAGGCCCTCTCTCTTCCGGAGGTGTCTGCACTCGTTGCTCAGTCTGTCACGTTTCTTGATGAGTCGTCTGATGCCATTTGTCACCCATGGTAAGTTGGCTTTGTGTGGAGTCAGCTTTTGAGGAATGAAGTCATTGATGCCCTTCTCGATGCCAGTCTTGAAGATGAGCCATAGTTCATTCACAGAGGCATATGTTACTTTAGCTTCTATCTCATCTCTGACTGCTTCGATGCTCTCACCAAACTTCTCCCACTGAGCTTTGCTGTAGAGTAAAACTTTCCTCCTCATCTGGAGCCGCCTGGTTGGTCTCACATTTAGCTTGACGAGAGGGCAATCATGGTCAGACACTCCTGGGACAACGGTAACCTCATTGACTACAGTTGGATTACTGACAAGGAGTAAGTCAAGTGTGTTCTGGTATCTGGTTGGTTCAGTAACTACTTGGGTGAGACCGTGGTCATCAAGGAGAGATCCCAGTCTGCGATGGAGATTGGGATATCTGCAATTGCCGACTTGTTGGTTTCTCCAATCCCATCCCGGTAAGTTGAAATCACCGCCTATTACAACAGAGTGGGTGGGGCTCAGTCTTGACAAGGACCTTTCGAGCTCTGTGAGGCTCATTTCATCGCAACATGGAAAGTCTTGGCTCCTGGCATGCTGATCTTGCACCAAATGAGCTCGCAGTCAGTTTCTAGTTCAATTTCTCTGGATGCCAAAAGATCCTTCCTGATCGCAAGAAATACACCGCCATGGAGATCGTTGGGTCTATCCCTTCTTGCAATGTTGTAGTGGTCTGTGGGGAACACTTCACTACTGCGTATGTCTTCCGTCAGCCAGGATTCAGTCTCTATTACTACATCTGGATTGTGTTGATGTATAAGAATTGCAAATGACTGCTTCTTAGCGCGAATACTCTGGCAGTTTACGTTGAGTATTGTTAAGACTTTTGCCTTTGGCTTTGTCGGGTTGATGGGTTTCTTTTTCAATGTTCTTGGTGAGGAGGAGAACTTTGGTGATCCAAGGCATAGTGAGTCATCACTTTCGCCTTCATCCTTGCTGTCAGGATTTGTAGTGCATGGTTCAATGTCAGTGTGGTTCAAATGGTTGAACAGATTTTGGCTGCTGAGGTTGCTACTGAAGGCACTGGGAAGGAGTAGATCTGACCTGCTGATATTGTGTACTCCACAGATGTTGCAGATCCACACAATTGAGCTGGTGCCTAGGGCACTGTAGTCTGTAGAGTAAAAGTTAATACACTCTGCATGGAACCACTGTTCACATTCACCTTCACACTGAATGCCCTTTGACTTCCAAGCCACATTTTTCCCACATGAACCACATGGAAATTTAGGTTTCTTGGGCATGTTAATTCAATCAACTCATAGTGGAGAAAGGAATGTAATAATAATAATACATTACAGTATTGACCATGGTTGCCAGTTGTACAATGTAGAACTAGAAGCTAGGTGGATTCCTTGTACATGTCTGTACATGTATGACTGTAGCCCATGTGAAAGCTGTAGACATCAGAGTCTTGCTGTGGGACTACAGATTTTGATGGCACTCTTAATGATATGAGTGGCAAAATCTAGCTTAGATTTCAGTTGACAGAATTGGTCCAAAAGAACATAAAATTTAATCTGCCATGAGAAGGAAGGGTGAAATTCCTAAATTCATGAATAAATTCCAGATAAAGACATCCCAGGGTGTCGATGTAGGCAGTTTCCAGGAAGCATTTGCAGTGTACATCCGACTCCCGCGACACACACACAACAACTCGACGATATACATGCATGCATGAAGTAACACTATGAACATCCCGGACAAAGAAAGAGGACAAAATATACAGATCCTCATTCTACCCTCAACATAAGAACATCCCTTCACTGCTATTATGTAAAAATGTGTAGAACAGGTGAATATGCATGTGACACCTGTTCTACACATATTACATAATAGCAGGGAAGGGATGTTCCTTTGTCTACCTGAGGAACTGTATATGTTATGCGCACGCGGCATACTAATACCTTGAGCATGTAAAGGCGCTATATAAATATCAATATGTATGTATGTACTAGATTTAGGAAAACCAAGATTGACGCATTCTCGATCGTCGACTGAGACGACGTAACGCATGCGCAGTGCCTTAAAATGACGTCACACGTTACTGTCAAAGCTGTTGACGTGCAAATCTAAAATACCCTAATACAACATGGAAGTAAACGTATGGGACAATGCATCAAGTGCATTAAGACAAAGTAGACTCTAGATCTACTACTATTATATGCAAACCGGCATACCGGGCAATTTTTTCGCTGTCAAATTACCCTTATCCTTATCTTGTCAATGATAAAATACAAATAGAGCATAATATGAAGTTAAAAACCTACCATTTTCACAGAAATCACGGTAAAAACGTCTCGTCTTAATCGTCTTGAAGGGGCTGGATTGTTCACCGCTAGACTATTCAGGCCGCATAGCAAGGCAAAAATAATTACATGACGCTAATTGGCGACGAAACAAGCCAGGCGTGAATTTCGTCGTGAATTGTATCGCCAATTATTCACGACGAAATTGACGATATCTTTAATTTCGTCGTGAAAAATTGGCGATAAAATTCACGACTTCGCGAATTTCGTCGTGAATAATTCGCGATTTGGTCTATTCGCGATGCCCTTCAGGGCCACCCTTACCATCGTCATCACCTCACCGGCATCCGTTTAGCTGTGCTGGCTCGCTGATTATTGTCACGTCATCACCACATCATTGACATCACCTTCATGACCATTATCGCATCCATCGATTGATCGTCTCATCAACAAGACCATCGTCATCGTCTTCTTCATCGTCTCTGTCTTCGTCATCATCGCCGTCTACGTCTTCGTCATCGCCATCGTTTCGTCGCCATAATCAGCATCGTCATCGCCTGACCTCGGTAATGCTGATTTGGTTTGATTATGATTTATTATTGAACGCTTTGCTGAACTAATTAACGATCCTCCTTTTTGTACTCGATTTTGAATGATTGACATGTGTTATTTTGTATTATTGATTAGGCTATATTGTTGCTTTCAATTTTGAACGTGACGGAGATTATACCTCCGGGGTGGTTCCCTCGAGATGATTCAGTTTACTATGATCACTGTTATGTGGTGATGACGTGACAATAATCAGCGAGCCAGCACAGCTAAACGGATGACGGTGTAGAGCCCGAAGGTTCAAAAAAATAAAGCTGAGTAGGAAAAAAATAAGGTTTTACTCACCGATACAAACTATCAAACTTTGAAGTGATGCCAGTTCCAACAAAAATGACAATATAAAGCCGACACCGTGCAGCTGAGAGAGTTACAAAAATGGGTAGTACAGCTTTCGTGCCTCCTCGACGAACGTAGCTGATGAATATTAAAAGATATCACTAGAAATATACCACAGTCCAAAACGCTAGCTAACTCGGTCCAAAACTAGCCCAAATTAACTTCTTCGACGAAAGTGTTCGGTATTTATGCTATATTAATATAAACAACGTGGTAATAAAAGTCTGTCGCGACGTCCAAGAAAACAAATTATAAAACGGCTCAAGTATTTTAAGCTTCGTGACTGGTCGAAACGCGTCACTTGACATGCGCTAAAAGTACCATTAAACGGCATTAATCTCCAGCCGTGCAACTCCATTTGATCCTTTCGCACCATTGCACTCTGACGTCACTAATGATGTACAAAATATATTGTGAGCTAAGTGAAGTCACCGTGCAATGTTACGAATGGATCAACAGAAATTGCACTCCGCGTAACAATAAACATAAAACCTGGTACGCCCATGGTGCGCGCATGGTTTGCTGCCTTTAATAATTGTGCGCGCTCACTATCGGCAATTCGGCAAATAAAAAAAAAATCGCTGAGATTTAGGCTTAGAAAAATTGTTCTTTAAACAAAAATTGTTTAAATCTCGTTAACGTCCGAGGTGTTGTATAAAATAAATAACGAATGGTCTTTATTCGTGCAATGGAACAATATGTTGCATTCGGTGAAAGTTGAGACGCTCCATTCAACTCGGCTGCGCCTCGTTAAATAGAACGTCTCTTATCTTCACCTTGTGCAAAATCGGTTCCATGACACATGCTCCGCCGACGATTGCTCCGCCGATATTTACTCCGCAAAACGCGACAATTGCTTCGCGACATTTGCTCCGCGACATTTGCTCCGTCGTCAAATGCTCCGCCGACATTTTCTCCGCCGACAATAGCTCCGCCGACAGATGCTCCGCCGACAATTGCTCCGCCGACAATTGCTCCGCCGACAATTGCTCCTCCGCCAATAGCTCCGCATGAAGCGATACATGCTCCGGTGACAAATGCTCCTCGAACGACAGTTGCTCCGCCGACATTTGCTCCGCCGACAATTGCTCCGCCAACAAATGCTCCGCCGACAATTGCTCCGCCGACATTTGCTCCACATGAAGCGACACTTGCTCCGGCGACATTTGCTCCGACGACATTTGCTCCAACGACATTTGCTCCGCATGAAGCGACGTGCTCCGGTGACATTTGCTCCGCCGACAATAGCTCCTACAACATTTGCTCCGTATGAAGCGACACTTGCTCTGGTGACATTTGCTCCGACGACATTTGCTCTGCCCAAAAACTTTCCCATAAACTACACATGCTACTAGTTCTAAGACAAATGCTTCGGCAACAATAATTTTTTTTCACGGGTTATTTATTTTTTTATTTTTTTTTCATTTTCTGAATGCATTTCATGAAATATTTTAGATGAAATGAATGAATGTTGATGATGTGGGAGGAAAAGGTAGTTACCTAAAAGTCATTTCGAATATACTAAAAAAAATTCCATCTATCACTGTACGTCCCATATAATGTACACTAAGCACTCATTACATGTCATGGGAAGTTTTTTTTAAAAAGTAAAGTAAAAAAAAGTTAGCGTACGTGTAGCTAGCTAGACCTAGAGCGGGAAAGCGGGGTATTACTAAAAAAACATTTTTTTTTGTTTTCTTTTGCATTTGATTTAGGCCATTTTGACTTTTGAAATTTATAATAAAGCCAGCAATTTCAGCTGTCTGAAGAATGGATTTTATTTTTACTCAAGGCAAGTGCAGAATCCCATCGACTTTTTGGTAAGCCTGCACGGTCTTATCTTTCCATTTTCTAGAATCAACATAACTCTAGATCTAACTCTTTTAGACTCTAACTTTAGATCTAAACTTTCGTTCATTAATTTGATTATTATGTGTTGCTATTTTATAAAACAAATAGCGCACTTGACCCTGTTGTGAGTGACGTAAATGCAGTGTACGCTCGGTTTCTTCAGATTGATGCGCACTGTGAACTCGCCTCAAGCGGCTCGTTGCACAGAGGCGGCATCAATCTAAAGAAACCTCGCGTGTACTGCATTCACCGCTATCGCACGCTGGGCCGTGCGTTATATGTATAATGTCCACCTCTAACTAGCTCAAGCGTGAAACTGAATGAATGAGCCGACTTGGCGAGTGAAGTAAATAAAACTTTGCTTTACAGTCCACTGAAGAATAACCCGGTCGCAGACGATGTAAAACGTGGAGATAACAAACTATGCAAAAGTCGCGAGAGAGTTCAGTTGTATCG